AAGACATTAATTGTTGTAATAAGAGTTGATACTTACATTTTATAGATTAGTAACTGTGATTCATATTTGCTAAATGATTTCCCTGAAGCATCCTATAAATAACATACAGAACTAACAAAATTGCCTAGTCAAGACTCAGACTTCTTAAAATTCAGTATAAAAGGTAAAGTTATTTTTAAAGTGTTTAACTTTGTCTTTTTTTTTTAGAACATTAATATATTTTATTTAGATATTATTTAAGATCATAATTTTATCTTCAAAGCTGGATGAATGATCTAATAAATATGTATCTCAACTAATAATGCTACTTTATTTATTTATTTTTGTTAATCCTCACCAGAGGATATATTTTGAAGAGATACCAATTAATCTTGTCAGAAAGAGAAAGAAAGGAACAGCAATGTGAAAGATATACATGATTGGTTGCCTTCCACACACACCCAACTGGGGCCTGGGATCAAACCTGCAACCAAGGTGTGTGCCTTTGACTGGGAATCGAACCTGAGACTCAGTGCACAAGCCGGTGCTCTCCCCACTGAAACACATTGGCCAGGGTTGCAATACCTTTTTTTTTTTTTTTTTTTTTTTTTAAAGGAAAGGATTCTACCTCTTACAGAAATGGGAATTCTCTCTGTTTAGTAAAAAGGTAGTGGAAAATATCAAACTGGTTCTATAAGTTAGCAGTAAGAAACTTAGGGCCACTGTTACAAAATTTAAAGTGAAAAGTTTAATATCTAAATATTAATATATTGCCAACTATAAATCTATAAGTAATCAGTTTCCTTTAAGCACCTGAAACATTTGCAGTGCTATCAGAATGATTTATTGAAACTTGATGTGACTGTTTTTATTACTTGTCTAGATGAATAGCAGCTACAGGCAATTGCCTTTGATATTGTCATCGACGTGATATATTACAATGCTGACAGAACTTCAGCTTGTGAGGACAGTTTTCCATTTATTCTTTCATCTTAGGCACTAATAAAGAGTGGAAAAAGGGAGTCACTTAACATATTCATTTATATTTTATGTAATCAAAAAATTGTATGCCATTAAACCACTAATTCATTAGAGAACCACTTTCAAGCCAAACACAAACATATTGCATGAAATGAATAGGCGTTTGATTTAAATAGTGTAGAAGAGTAATTTTAGAATAATACTGGATTCTAGAAATCACATGCTATTTTTAGGTGCAGAAAATGAGGCAGTTCAGTGGGGAAGATATTGCATAGCTTGTTATTAGCAGATCACCTTTCAGTCTAGGTGATCTGCTAATAACAAGTTATTAGCACTTATTTCTGTGCATGAAATAAATTAGAGTTGGATTAATGGAATGGGAATGAGTATCAAAAGCTTGTTTAACTATGTCATTGGTAAAAAGTCAACTTCTAAGAATATATATAATTAAAAGCATATTATACATCTGTACTCACCAGAGCTTTAAAAAGAGAATTTTTAATGACAGTGTATTTTTTCTCTGGAATAAAATTTCTTTGAGATACAGGTTAGTCAGTGTCTTGTAATGTGATTTGCTTTTCTGGTTATTTTTAAAGGAAATGGAATATCTTATAAATGATTCTTTATTCAGTGGTTTTTAAAGTCATGATCAGTTTGTAGTGATTGGTGTTTTTTAATTTTTCTATTGGATACTGGTTACAGAATAAGTACAGTCTTTTGCTAGCAGTTAATCTGTATTTAAGTAAAAGTTATGTTCAAGTAATAATATTTCAAATAACCAATTGAATACTTCTATTATTTTTTAAAACTTTTAATTGAAAAGAAAAAAAAATTTTAAGAGAGAGAAAGAGAGAGGGAAATAGAGAAAAATTGATGTGAGAGTGAAACATCAGCTGTCTCCTTGCACTCCTCCTACTGGGGATCAAGACTGTAGCCTGGGCATGACAGAATCAAACCAGCAACCTTTCAGTTCACGGGAAGATGCCTGACCAACTGAGCTACACTGGCATGGGCAAACAATTCTAAATTATTTTAAATTAGATTCAATCCTTTTCATGGATGCAAAAATTATTTAATTACTTAAATAAAATTCTAGGATATACTAACAATTTACATGAGAGTTTGTTTAGTGATTCTATCAAGGGAATCCACCTTCTCCTAATCAAAGCTGATCTTTTGAATGTGCACAGCAATTCAGTGTCTTGATTTAAGAACTTAACATTGGAAATGATGCACGTGGACGAGGGGAGAGGGCAGAATCAAGCCAAATCATCCTCACATCTACTTGGTTGCGCAGGCAGAGTATTATAAAGATACTATTAGTTTTTTAAAACCCTGCAATTTATGCTAATATGTCATTCTATTAATTGTTCAGTTTCTCAGTTTGCAATTTTGGAAATCTTGTCATGTCTTGGGTAACAGTCTTGTAGATCATGTCTCCTACCCATAATAAGAGTCCTAAGGATTTAGTGCCCATTCTTTCTCTGTTTAACCTAATTCCAGATTTTTTTTTAATCTTTCTTTTCTTCTCTCCTCTAAAAATAGGACTTTGTTATATTCTTTGGTTTTTGACACCTCTGCTATTCCTATTTTTCCTTGGCCATATCAGACTCATGAGGTTTAAAATGAAGTCATTAGAGAAACCTTGAGATTCTCCCTTTTTAAGGGACCCTGCTATTGTTTAGCACTCTGTTTCTTGAAAGAGGACTGGCAGCTACACCTCCCTTTTTAAAATTATGGGGTGATCCCAATTAATTGAAGGCAAAGAAAATTAGTTGAGATTACACATTTTAGGGAGGCACAGTTTAGAATGGTTGATATGGGGAAATGTTGGATTAGGAAATAAATTTTAAAGATTTTTTTTTTTTTTTTAGATTCTAAGCAAGTTATGGGAAAAACTTTTAATTTTATATCTCATTCTCACTTTGTGGTGGAAGAGGAGCTTTGGTAGCTTAACTATTTGGTAGTAGTAATAGTAATGGTAGAAATTGTTAACATCTGTACTATACTGTATACTGACTGCTGTACATATATTATCCCTCTAATCTCCAAGTGTTTTCATGTCAGTACTACCGCTATTGTTAATTTATACAAGAAAGACTGATACAGTGAAGTCATTTGCTCAAGATGGCGTAGATAGAAAGTGATTTGACTCAAAACCCATATTCCTAATCACTAGGTACCCTGCTTCCTCTCCAAATGGCTAACAAATTGATAGTATGAATATTGCCCTAAAGGCAAACTATATTGAGATACTGTGCCAGGAACTGTTTTAACTAACAGAAAAAAAGCAAAGGACAATAATGGGGATTGATTGAGAGGAAGAAGAGATATTTTAAATGTAGTGTTCTTATAGATTTCTGTTTGTTAGTAGTAATATTTGATTTTTAAAGAGACATTTGAGTTATATATTTGAACGAGGATTTATAGATGTTTTTATGTTTTATTTATATATGTAAATGTATTTGTTTAGAATATTTAGTATTTGTAATCTAGCATGGAGAATCTTGATACTAGATTGTCATTGAAATGTTACTATAAAAATGTACTAATTCAGATTTTTCAAGTTCAAAATTTTATATAGCATAGCAATTAAGATGAACTGTTTTGTGCTGATTTACCAGTTGCTTTGTTTAATAAATACTTATTGAATGCCTACTATGATCCAAGCACTGTGTCAAGTGCTAGAGAGCCATTTAAAGAAAACTAAGACACAATTCCTGCCTTAGCAGTTTTACCAAGTAAGCACAGAGTGCCATGCCAGCACATAGAAAGGGAGGAACTGAATTGCCATAGAGATCACACAGGGCTTATAAGAAAAGAAGGCCTTTAAAATGTCCTGAAAGATTATAGGAGTTACCTATACAATGTATAGGCTTTCTATTCATTGATGAACCATAAGTAAATTATTAGAAATATCAGGGGGGAAGGATTTAAAAAACACCAATGCCTAGACCTGCCCCTAAAGATTCTGATTATTAGTTTTGGGGGAACCCAGACATGAGTATTTTTAAAGGAAGCCCAGGTGTTTTTATGGGCTGTCATGGTTGGAAATCACATACCATTTCAGACACGGTCCTAAAAATGGTTCTTTCTGACAAGAACACTTTATTGTTGCTTAGAGAGAAGCTATTATTGGGGAAGGGAAAGTTTGAGATAAAAAATTAATTGAAACCGAAAAGCACAGATTTAAAAATATAAAAGCTAATATTTCTACATTAAGATTAAACAACTTACCTAGGAAAAATTAATTGAATAAAGTATTAAGCTGTGTCTCATATCCCATTTAAAAATACTAAGAGTGCAAAATGGTTCCCATGGATCTGCTATTCAAAGTCCTGCATAGAAATAACAATATTGAGATACACAGAGAAGAATATTTGTTCATCAACAGACACATTACTCAAACGGTAAATTCCCAAAGGACTTTTCCCGGATTGATGACTAGAAGAGAGCAGATGAATCATAGTTTCAGGGAACTTCTTGCCTTCATAGATGAGAATGGGTGGGTACAAGATTATGAATTCAATATAGGATTCTAATTGATTATATTTACTTATAGTTCTGACCACACACATTTATTTCATTTATTTGAAGTACCTACATACAACTGGTGACATTTAAATTAATGCTTAACTATAACCACCAGAAAAATTACCCATGTGATATATAAGACTATATTAGAATAATAGGATATTAAACTGCCGTATGTGGTTTTTGTTTTTTTTTTTTGTTTTTTTTTTTTTTTGTTTTTTTTTTTTTGTTTTGTTTTTTTTAGTGTATAGACTCTTTTTACTTCATTTAGTTTGAATTTACTATTGAGAAAACTGTGACTCAGGTTCACTAAAAATTTCCCCTGGTAACACAACTAGGTAAAGGTAGACCAGGACTAGATTTCAGCCTGTTTGATATTGAGATCAGTATCCTTTCCATGACAGCACACCACACTGCCTTTTAATTTTCAGCATCTTATTGTTCTTGCATTTTGAATTTTCTAGTCTGGTTTTCTTTTATTTTGTATTGCAATTTGTCTCCTGAAGGTCAAGTAACCTGGTTTGGTTATGAAAGTCCGCGTAGCTTCTGGGACTACATCAGAGTGGCTTGCCGGAAAGTCTCACAGAACTGTATCTGCAGCATTGAAAATATGGAAAATGTCAGTTCCTCTAGAGCTAAGGTAAGACATAAATACCATGCAATGGTATCCTATGCAGTCTTAGCCCAATTAGAAAGTTCCAAGCTCTTTGCTATAAAACATTTGTTTTCTTTGTTGAAATTAAGCACTTGACCAAATTTAACATCTTCTAGAGGCTTGTTTCCTTTTTTATTGTATTTAGTTATTCTAGAATGCTCTTGAACCTTTATTGTTTCTTTATGAATAGCAAGAACGTATGAAGCTAGTCACTACTGAGAACAATGAAATATATCCTCACCTGAGAGTTATTTCTGTTTATTGAATTACCTAAGCCAGTGACTCTCAGTGTACAGCAGAACCCTGGGGGTCCATAATTTCAAAACTCCTTTTCATGTAAGAGCAAAATGTTATTTGCCTTTTGCATGGTGTTGACATTCTCGTTGCTAGTGCGGAAGCAATGGTGGTTAAAATTGCTGTTGCCTGTGCACCAATTAAGACAATGGTATTAAACTACTATTAGTAATCATTGAGTTCTTCCCCACCATCAGCTCAGTCTTAAAACACACACACACACACACACACACACACACACACACACACACACACGTGCGCACACGAACATAGCTCCATAGTCACTTTAAAAAGTCCATGACAACACAGTAAATATTATTAATTTTATTAAATCTCAACCTTTGAGTACAATGTGTTATGCCCAGACTTCATGATCCCCAAGGACCACCAGGGAGCCGAGTCCGATGCAATAAACAAGAGCCTTTTCCATGCTAGCATGGGCCTTTCCCACTCACCCGGGCAGCATGGCGGAAGAGAGAGCGAATTTCGCCCAGTCCAGGGGTTTTACTCCGGTCGGTGGTGATATCACTGCCTCAGCTAACCCTGATTGGTTGGGTGAGGGCTAGGGATAACTCCGCCCTGCGGGGCGGAGTTGGGAGCTCATTCTCGCCCCGCCCTGCCCTCTCATTCCCACCTTGTCTAATGTGCGTAGTCAAATCATTGACTCAGCCTACTTCCTTTCAGCATACAGTTACCAAGACCCTTAGTACCACGGTTCCCATCAGAATTGTCCTAACTGAAGTCCAGTTCCCTCCTGCAGGCATCAGTTCTCCTCCTGGCCTGAGTTGCCAGGATCCAGGCTATGCAGAAGCTGGAAGTCATGTAGTCAGGTCTGGGTGCCATCTACTTCAACAGCAGTGGGCGTGCTCAGGATAACAGTGTAGTGTCCCTTTGAGTCCTTGGGCAGTGAATTTCTTTACCCACATTGAGTTCCGGGGCTACAGGGTCTGCAGTGGGCACTGGCAGTGCATCTGGAACAAGCAAACTGCAGATCCTGTAAAGACTTGAGCAAGGGAATGGTTATCATACATGATCCCCTCCCAAAAAGGGGAAACTTGTCCCAGTAAGGGGTACACCTGGCCCTCAAGAGGGCAAAGGACAGGGGGTTGGTCCAATTTTCACCGATTCTAGGACACGTTTAATTAAATCCCCTTTCCAGAGTCTCACTTACCTGTCCTAAGGCTAGAGCTATACTCTGAGATACCTTAGCTATCAAGGTGGGGCTGTTATTTGATTCTGGCAACCTGAATCTAGGTATAATCTCCTGGAGTAATTTCTTGACTACTATAGAGGCAGTTTCTGTCTTAGTGAGTTATACTTCAACCTAATCTGAAGTGTCTACAAAAACTAGACCTTAATGCTGGTGGTTTAATCGCTGAAATCCACCTACCAATGCTCTCCTGGGGAAGTTCCCTGGACCTGAATTCCCTTACCTTGCTTGACATTTACCTGTGCACAGACAGTACTTCTATTAATAGCAACTCTGCCTCACAGAAGTTCAGAAGTCTTGGTGACACTTAACCTGGTGTCACCGGGCAACTCTGATCTAGAGCCTCTGGGACCAACAGTCTTGTCATCTGGAGGGTCCACCAATCATCTGGTCCTTCAGTGGCTTTCTTTTGTTCAGCCGATTCCTTCTGGCTGCAGTTGGTAACCTTCTTTTCTCTGTGGATGGCACAGTGTCTCCATCAAAGGGACTGGATTAAGGCCAAAAGTTCTGGAACTGTGCCCAAATGGTGTGGTCCAGGGTGACTACCACTGCCCCTGCATATCAGGTCCCATCCTGAACGTAACTGCTCCCATCCGTGAACAGTACCTTGTCGTCTGTTACCTCTGTGCAGTCATGAATGGGTTCCTCCATCATCATCTGGAAGCAGGCTGGCAGGGTTGATGGTCACAGTCTTGTGAAATCGGACACAGGGCTGGTCCAGGAGTAAAGCCTGGCCCATCCAGGTTAGCTCCTGTCCCAGTCTGCTTATCTGCCTCCTTCACCAGCAATGCTGTGGTGGCCTCTGCCTGGAAGCACGCTGGCCACCCTGCTGCCACAGGGTCCAGTCTCTTAGACAGATAGGCAACAGATCTCTTCCAGGGACCTAGAGTCTGAGTGAGAACCCCTTTGGCAATGCCTCTTACCTTACTCACGTAGAGGTGGAAGGGCTTTGCAACGTCTGGCAAGGATAGGACAGCTGCTGAGATGAGAGCCTTCTTTAGCTCCTCAGAGGCCCATTGTCCAGTTCAGCAGCTGCATTCCTTCTGTACATGTTTCTTCTGAGGTCCCCAGTCCTTTTTCGATGTCCAAGGAGGCTCCCTGCCTCCTATTAGTTGCTGGCCTTTTAATTTCAAATTAACTTCTAAACTTTCTTTCTATATAACTATGCCTCAAATTTTAAAGAAAAGGCAAGGGAGGAGGGAGCAGGTCCAGTACACTGTTCCCAGGCCTCCAGCCGCTTGAAATTTAAAATGCCACATTTTTCCTACAGATACAGATCTATCTGCATTTCTAAGCCCCCTTCTACTCCCCCCCCCAACCCCCCCAGCAGAACATCGGTGAAAATTGTCCAGGCAGTTGCAGGGGGTTAAATCATATAAATAATTGTTTTAACACAATTCTAAATAAATTATAAACCTTTGTGATGAAGTCTATTTAAAACTACACACATGACTGAAACCAAAAATGATTCCCAAAGTTTAAACAAAATACAAGATGCAGATTCAAGCCCAAATTCAAACTTACAATGCAAAGCAAAACAAAACAGATCAAATATAAAAGTTTCATATGTTACATTAAACATTACTTTAGAAAAACTGACTTAAAAAAATACTGCATCACTGACTTAAAATAATTTTTTAAGTGTAAGCATTACATACTTTTTCATCTGACAAATGAGAATAAATCAATCCTTGAGATCTTTGATCATTACTGCTTATTCTTAACACATATAAAACAGTTTAGCCTGCCATATTCTAGGCATCTAGTTACTGCAATTAACTTTGCCTAATTCAATTTATACTTAAGTAGCCATATGACTCTGCTTAGCTGATACCAATGACAAAGACTAAACATTGTAAGCAAGGCCATCTGGGCAGCTTCACCACGTTATCACCTGCTACTCCCTGCAGATCACTGGAGTAGCATTCAAATGCAAATGAACACATTCTTTAGCTGAAGACTCCTGGCCATTTAGGGCCATTCACATAAACTTGTTACCATTACCATCTAGTTTCCGCCTCATGGCGGGGGAATTTCAAAAGCTGCTTACAATGACTTGGGAAACTAGTTTTAATTTATCTCCCAGTTATCTCCACCAGTTTTAAAGCTCATTCTGTACACAGAAAAGCGTTTTAAGCACAGCCCAAAACTATGCCCACTCGTTTTGAACTGGCCTTTTCTCTTTACTGAGCACAGAGATTCGCCCTTGAGCTCTTCTCCCGTACCTGATGTCGCCAGGGACCGGATGCCTCCATGCTGGCCCAGGCCCCCAGGGCCCAGGCCCCTGGAGCGAGGCTGCTTTGGCCACCCCAGCCACCCTACTCAGGCGGCCCCCGAGGAGAAAGCGCGGGTCGCCCCAGTGGCTTCCCGGCTCCACCTCCCCTTCTCCAGGCAGCCAGCAAATTAACCCAGATGCCTGCTCCCCGAGCGAGGCCACCACTGCCCAGCCGTGCTCCAACGCGCAGACTGAGCCACGTGGGAGCCCCCCCTCTGACCCAACGCCACCAAGGGGCCCCGCACCACCACGCCGGCCACACTTCGCCGGCTCCATCCTGGGGCGCCATGTCGCCCGCAGATACCAAACTCAGACCTGGGAAAGGTTTCCGCAGGTGAGGCAATGGCTCACGCCATTCCTCTCCCCATACGAGGGTTCCTCCAGGGCCCTCCCGGGAGGTCAGAACATCTTCTGATCCTCCTGCCCGTGGCCTTCATGGTGCATCCACCAGGCGTTTTCGGGCACCAATTCCACAAGGGGTTTTACGTCCCTCCAGAGCGCGCACACAAAAACACAGACACACACACACCTACCGCGGCCAGTCAGGCTCTCCGGATCGGGTTCCCTCATGGTCCTGGCTGGGGATCCCGGACGAATTCCCCCATATGTTACGCCCAGACTTCGTGATCCCCAAGGACCACCAGGGAGCCGAGTCCGATGCAATAAACAAAAGAGCCTTCTCCCTGCTAGCATGGGCTCCTCCCACTCACGCTGGAAGCATGGCGGAAGAGAGAGCGAATTTCGCCCAGTCCAGGTGTTTTATTCCGGTCGGTGGTGATGTCACTGCCTCAGCTAACCCTGATTGGTTGGGTGAGGGCTAGGGATAACTCCGCCCTGCGGGGCGTAGTCAGGAGCTCATCCTCGCCCCGCCCTGCCCTCTCAAATGTATCAGATTGAATGCGAAGCAAGATACCTAGTTTGTAAAATGCCAGAGCTGCTGACATCAATATATATCAGCTTCAGTTTAGTTTTTTGGTTTTTTTTTTTTTTTTTGGATTGCCATAGTAGCTTTCCTTTCTATTTTTTTTTAAACCTTACCCTAGGATATTTTCCATTGATTTGTTTTTTTTAGAGAGATTGGAAGAGAAAGGGAAAAACAGAGAGAAATATTGATGTGAGAGAAACACATCAATTGGTTGCCTTCTGCACATGTCCTGACTGGGCCAGGGAGGAGCCTGCAACTAAGGTATGTGTCCTTGACCAGAA